CTTGGTGGCCTCCAGCAGGAAGAGTGTGTTCTCTCATTGGTTCTATACACACAGACAACCGTTTTTCCAGGAAGGCAGCCCCGCCTTCAGCGTCATTGACTGCGGGCCTGACTATCATCAGCCATGACGAAGACCGAGTCAGGTGTGTGCAGGCCCAGAACTAGCCCATCATAGCCCCAGAGTGGGCTCCAAACCTGAGATCTGGTAGACCAGAGAGCCTGCAGGATAATTTCCCCCTTAAGATGGGCAGATTTACTGTTCCACAGCCAACAGGTAGATACATGTAACTAGAACAATCTGTCATGGGACTAAGTGGAAGAATCCATCAGCATTACACAGGCATCTTTTCTTCAAATACAACTGTAAACTCTCCACTGTTTGAAGAGACAGTCATACCTTGGGGGTGCTCAGGGAATCTAGGTATTTGCACTCCAAGGTGGCAAGCCTGTGGGGGGGTTGAAGGGAAACAATACTTGGAAATGTTAGAAGGAAATGTATATGGAGAAATTAATGGAGAAATGATTATTTTAATGTGATATGTAAGTGTAACTAGGACAGCCAGTTGAAGCAGTCCCTCAGAAGGGGCAGGTATTGTGAACACAGAGGTGAGACTGAAGGCTCCGAGCAGCATCTGCAAATGTGGCAGCAGAAGCACTTCAGGGCATGATTCCTTAAGAATAGGACATAGAAGAGGGGAAGCACAGTGTCAGGAATTAAGTCAGAAAACACCTTCAGCTGTGAGTGGAAGAAAGAAAAACTTGCAGGAAAGGCAACAGGATGGAATGAGGCGGTGAGTGATAGGAGACAAGTTAAACACGAAAATACAATAAATGCCGGCACCACAAATCAATGGAGAGAGATGGCAGATAAAAATGGATTACTTGGTCAGGCATGGTGGTTCACGCTTATAATCCCAACACTTTGGGAAGCTAAGGTGAGTGGGTCACTTGAGCTCAGGAGTTCAAGACCAGCCTGGGCAACATGGTGAAACCCCATCTCTACAAAAATTAGCCAGGTGTAGTGGCACGTACCTGTAGTCCCAGCTACTTGGGAGGCTGAGGCAGGAGCATTGCTTGAACCTTGGAAGTAGAGGTTACGGTGAGCCGAGATCATGCCACTGCACTCCAGTCTGGGCAATAAAGTGAGACCCTGTCTCAAAAAAAAAAAAAGGATTAATTATGTAGTGAAAAATATATTTGCATTTTTAACATCACCTACAAGAGTGGACTTTAGGTCCATGCTGTCCACAGCAGCAGCCACCAGCCATGTGTGGCTACTGAGATGTAGCCAAACCAAGTGTGCCGTGGCTCTGAAACACCAGACATCAAGCATGGAAGAGGACAACAACTTTAAATACCTTAATTTTTATATTGATTATGTGTTTAGATATATTGGGTTTCAAAAGTATCATTAAAGTGAGTTTCAACTATTTTGGTTACTTTTTTAATGTGTTTGCTGGAAAATTTTAAATTACATACATAGCTAACATTGTATTTTTATTGGATAGCACTGCTGTAAATGGGCTCCAGATCTAAATGCAAAAGGTAAAAAATATAATGTTAATAGGCCGGGTACGGTGGCTCACGCCTGTGATCCCAGCACTTTGGGAGGCCAAGGAGGGTGGATCACATGAGGTCAGGAGTTCGAGACCAGCCTGGCCAATATGGTGAAACCCCATCTCTACTAAAAATACAAAAATTAGCCGGGCGTGGTGGCACATGCCTGTAGTCCCAGCTACTCGGGAGGCTGAGGCAGGAGAATGGCTTGAACCCTGGAGGCAGAGGTTGCAGTGAGCCGAGATCACACCACTGCACTCCAGCTTGGGCAACAAGAGCGAAACTCCATCCCCCAAAAAACAAAAACAAAAACATAACGTTAATAGACTAAAATGTAGGAGAATATCTTGTGACTAAGGAGGCTACAGAAGAACATCTTATATAAAAGTTCAAAAGCAGGCCAGGTGCAGTGGATCACACCTGCAATCTCAGCACTTTGGGAGGCGAGATGGGAGGATCACTGGAGCTCAGAAGTTCAAGACCAGCCTGGGAAACACAGCGAAACCTCATCTCTACAAAAGAATTTTTTAATTAGCCAGGCATGGTGGCACCCAACTGTAGTCCCAGCTACTTGGGAGGTTGAGGTGGAAGGATTGCTTGAGCCCGGGAGGTTGAGGCTGCAGTGAGCCATGATCACACCACTGCACTCTAGCCTGGGCAACAGGCTGTCTCAAAAAAAAAAAAAAAAAAAGTTCAAAAGCACAGCTTTAAGATAAAAATTAATTTCATTGCACAAGAAATAAGGATTTCTGTTCAGTGAAGGACACCATGGACAGAGTTAATAATTAGTGGAATGAGAGATGGTATTTGAGACCAATAAGAGATTAGAATATATGAAAAAGCCCTACAAATCAACAACAAAAAAGGAGCCTGCAACCTGAAAAGAAAGATGGGCAAAAGATATGAACAGGAAATTTACAGAAGCATAAACTCGAAAATTCAAGAGGCCAGGTGTAGTGCCTCACACCTGTAACCCTAGTGATTTGGGAGGCTGAAGTGGGAGGATCACTTGAGGCCAGGAGTTCGAATAGCCCAGGCAACATAGTGAGACCTCGTTTCTACCAAAAACAAAAAAATTAGCTGGGCATATAGTCCTAGCTACTTGGGAGGCTGAGGCCTGAGGGCTTCAGCCTCCTGAAGCAGGAGGATTATTTGAGCCCAGGAGCTCAAGGCTACAGTGAGCTATGATTGTGTCACTGCACTTCAGCCTGCATGATAAAGCAAAACCCTTTCACAAAAAACAAGTCTGGGCGCAGTGGTTCATGCCTTTAACCCCAGCGATTTGGGAGGCCAAGGTGGGTGGATCACCTAAGGTCAGGAGTTCGAGACCAGCCTGACCAATGTGGTGAAACCCCGCCTCTACTAAAAATACAAAAATTAGCCAAGCATGGTGATGCGTGCCTGTAGTCCCAGCTACTCAGGAGGCTGAGACAGGAGAACTGCTTGAACTCCGGGAGGTGGAGGTTGCAGTGAGCTGAGATTGTGCCACTGCACTCCAGCCTGGGCGATAGAGCAAGACTCCGTCTCAAAAAAAAAAAGAAAAGGCTGTGCGTGATGGCTCACGCCTGTAATCCCAGCCCTTTGGGAGGCCAAGGTGGGCGAATTACAAGGTCAGGAGTTCAAGACCAGCCTGACCAATATGGTGAAACCTCATCTCTACTAAAAATACAAAAATTAGCTGGGTGTGGTGGTGGCGCATGCCTGTAATCCCAGCTACTCAGGAGGCTGAGGCAGGAGAATCACTTGAACCCTGCAGGCAGAGGTTGCAGCGAGCCGAGATAGTACCACTGCACTCCAGCTTGAGCGACAGAGTGTGACTCCATCTCAAAAAAAAAACAGACAAGAAGCGATGCTTAAAATCATTAGTAACCAGAGAAATACAAATTAAAGCAACAATGAAATATCACTTTATATCCATCAGACTGACAAAAATTAGAAAAGCAGATAATGTCATCACAGGAGGGACGCAGAGATACAAGGCCCCTCATATGCTGCAGGTGGAAGAGTTTGCTGGTGCAGCTTTTCCGGAGAACAACTCGGCGCTACTTAGACAGGTGAGTTCTACGTATACTCTATGACCCAGCAAGTCCACCTCTGGGTTTATATCCCCCCAAATTCTCACACAGAATTAGGGCACATACTTAAGCATGTTCACTGCAGCCCTGTTTATAATGACAGACAGCTGGAAGCAAGCTGAGCGTCCTATGCCCAGAGATGAACAGGTACAATCTGTGACTGTACACCACGGAGGACTGCATTACTCACTAGTGAGGTATCATGCGGCGACACAGCCCTTAGTGGAAAAATAGTAAGGCACAGTGAGCTATACAACTCAAAACACACCATTTACATAATTTATACAAATGTACAACGTTTAAGTCCAGATTAGAAGAAATCAACTGTAAAAAGACATTTGTAACAATCCATGAGAAATCTGGGCATAAACAGTAGATGATATTAACATAGGATAGTGCTGTTTTAAATTAGAAGCACATAGTAAGCCGGGTGCAGTGGCTCACACCTGTAATCAGCATTTTGTGAGACTGCAGTGGAACCATCTTGAGCCCAGAAGTTTGAGACCAGGCTGGGCAACACAGGGAGACCCCCATCACTACAAAAACATTTTAAAAATTAGCTGGATGGGGTGGCCCACACCTGTGGTCCCAGCTGCTCCAGAGGCTAAGATAGGAGGATCACTTGCGCCTGGGAGGTTGAGGCTACAGTGAGCCATAATGGTGCCACTGCACTCTAGCCTGGAAAACAAAGTGACACCCTGACTCAAAAATAATAGTAGTAACAGTTAAGGGCCGGGCGTGGTGGCTCATGCCTGTAATCCCAGCACTTTGGGATGCCAAGGCCAGTGGACACCAGCCTGGCCAACATGGTGAAACCCCGTCTCTACTAAAAATACAAAAATTAGCTGGGTGTGGTAGCGCACACCTGTAGTCCCAGCTACTGGGGAGGCTGACGCAGGAAAATAGCTTGAACGCGGGAGGTGGAGGTTGCAGTAAGCCGAGATCGCACCACTGCCCTCCAGCCTGGGTGACACAGCGATACTCTGTCTTTAAAAAATTGAAAAATAAAAATAAATAAAATAAAATAAAATCGGAAGGACAGTGCCTCTTCTGAAATGGCTGAGAAACAAAAAGAACTCAGGGAAAGAATATATCCAAGTAGCTGGGGTGGAAGAAGGCAGCCTGGGGAATGTGTGCCTGATGGTATCAAAGAAGCCATTATGGAGCCACTACAATGAGGAATGGTGGCTGACAATCTCCCTGGCAGGCTCTACGAGATAAACCCAATCCATCAATCTCCATAAAAGGCTACTCTTTGTTGGAAGGTGACAGTTGGGGAATCCGCTTAAACTTTTTTTTTTTCCAGACCGAGTCTTGCTCTGTCACCCAGGCTGGAGTGCAGTGACACCATCTCGGCTCACTGCAACCTCCGCCTCCCGGGTTCCAACGATTCTCCTGCCTCAGGCTCCCGAGTAGCTGGGATTACAGGCGCCCGCCACCATGCCCGGCTATTTTTTGTATTTTTAGTAGAGACGGGATTTCACCATGTTGGCCAAGCTGGTGTCGAACTACTGAACTCGTGATCGGCCCGCCTCAACCTCCCAAAGTGCTGGGATTATAGGCGTGAGCCGCCGCGCCCGGCCCGCCTAAGCTTGTTTTTACCGCCAGGAGGTGCCCTTGGACCACAGCTGAATTCTCAATGCTAGACAGTTGGGAAACTCACAGTAGCCTAGACTTCCAGCGTGGTGTGGACGAGGAGACCCTGTCCCACCCCTGAACTAGAGACCTCGCTGGGCCTCTCCCCCAAGTATTCCTCTCGTGTGTTCACCACAGACCAGGACTGTGATGGACACACAATGAGAGAGAACCAGACCACGGATACTCACGAGCAAACAAAACATGACTAAGCGTAGCCTGGGTAGCAATGCCTCTTAGGCCTGTCCTAGTTTTGCCAGGTTATCCTTCTGCCCCTTCGTTCTCAGTTTCCGTACCAATAAATAACACGTCTGTAATGAAACACTAAAATAATGTTTAAAGCGCTACAAAACAATGACTAGTTTTGCTTAAAATGTGGCGCGCCTGTATTTCTGAAATGTTGCCCCAAGCTGCCACAGAGGCCGGCCAGCCCTCTACGAAAGCCCCTTTTTAGGGCCCTCGGGGAGATTCCCCTTTGTCATTAGCTCTCCGGCCTCCTCAGACAGCCCAATAGCAGGACCCATTGTGATGGTGAGTGACTCCCCGAGGCCTCCGCTTTTCTAGGCGGTGGTTGCGTCCAGAGCCCCTCTGACGCAGGAGTGGCGACCCTTTCCAGGGTGATGACTGGCTGGCTGGGGCTGGGGGTGGGCTGACCTCCGCGGCGCTGTGCCGCCACCAAGAGGCCCCGCCCCCGTGCTGCGAGGTCATTTGTATGCAGCCTCGCGATTGGTCACTCGGCTCCCGCGAGGGGAAGGGGAGGGAAGCAGCGCGTACTCGCGCGTGCGTGAGCTGGTGCGTGAGCTGGCGCGCGAGAAAGGGCCCGGTCGCGTCGAGGCTCGAGCGCCCGTCGCCATTTTGTAGGGTTCTCCCTGACGCGGGAGCCGCCGCCGCCGCCGCCGCCACCCGGAGGTGCGAGGGGGTCTTGTGTGTGTGATGTGGGGAGCTCGGGGGCGGGGCGGGCCGGGCCGGGCCTCCTGCAGAAGGCATGGCGGGGATTTGGGTTTCTCATTTTGCTGCGGGAGGTCCGGGGAGACAACGGGAGGAGGCGGGACCGGGTCTCCGGAAGGAGGCGGGGCAGGGGTCGGGTCGAGTCTTTGTTGGAGCGAAGAAGCTGGAGGGTGGGCCGCTGGGGGGCGGGTGGTTGGTCCCGGTTAGAGGGAAAGGGGACTTTTTTCCTTTTAGTGTATCTTGAAAGGTGCTAGTGCGTGGAGGAGAGGTACACAGATTTCCCTCCAAAACCTTGTTACCAGGCGCACTGCGATAGATACCCCTTGCCTTTGCTTGGGCTTTTCTCTTTCCTCATTTTAAGACATTAAACAGCTAATTCTGGTATTTCATTGCGCTCCATTTCACAGAGGTGATAGACTGTGCTATGCATGCTGACCCTCGACCTCCTGTTTCCATGTCACACATAGCTCGCACTTCTCAAGAACAAACCGCCCTTCTACTGAGGAAGAATAATGAATGTCTATGCGAGGGTCTCTGAAGGTGCAAGAACTTTGGAGGATTAGATGAAAATGCTGCAGTGCACCGAAATTTCCCACCACACCCCTGACTTTTGAAATCTTGTTTTTCTCTCCCAGGCTCTTGTCAGGATGGTGAAGCTGTTCATCGGAAACCTGCCCCGGGAGGCCACAGAGCAGGAGATTCGCTCTCTTTTCGAACAGTATGGGAAGGTGCTGGAATGTGACATCATTAAGAACTATGGCTTTGTGCACATAGAAGACAAGACGGCAGCTGAGGATGCCATACGCAACCTGCACCATTACAAGCTTCATGGGGTGAACATCAACGTGGAAGCCAGCAAGAATAAGAGCAAAGCTTCAACCAAGTTACACGTGGGTAACATCAGCCCCACTTGTACCAACCAAGAGCTTCGAGCCAAGTTTGAGGAGTATGGTCCGGTCATCGAATGTGACATCGTGAAAGATTATGCCTTCGTACACATGGAGCGGGCAGAGGATGCAGTGGAGGCCATCAGGGGCCTTGACAACACAGAGTTTCAAGGTGAACTGCTCTGGGCCTGGGTAGTAGAGCCGAGTGGGGTCTAGCTCAAGACAGGCAAGAACACAAGACTATAGAACTGGCAGGGTGGTCTCTTCCATTCTGTTTTAGCTGGAAATAATAGATTATGTTTTCCGCTCTTAAGCATAGTTTACCTCTGGGGAAGCAAACACTTCCCCTTTTCAGGTTTGCTAAGATGTTGCTCACCGACTGCATAGAATCGCAGACTGTGGGTTACTTTATCCTGCGAGATTCTTGCATTCATTCGAGTGCTGTTGGAGGTGTAATCTGCTTGGGGAAACGAGTACCTCATGAGAGAAGGGAGGATAAAGGTCTGTGGCTTACCTGCGTCTTTAGTTATGATCGGGAAGCCTTATATTTGAGGGTTTAAGTGCTTAAGATTTATATTCTTTACTGCTTTGGGTGATGGATACTGGTGGGAAAGAAGAAAAAAGACATCTAGAGGAAGCCCTATATTATACATCTGGGCGGCAGGTCGATCTGCGGGAGTATCTTTTGGTTGCTAGATTTGTGCGATCTATTCAAGCAGAGCCAAAAAACATGCCGTGGAGTGTTCTGCTCCACCTACTATTATTTAACCCTAAGAAAAAGAAATTTCTAAATATATCAGACTAAATGAGAATGATGGTCCCGCTTCTGAAGAAATTCCAGTAAAAGCATCATACTATTTATACTGATGATAAAGGTACATATGTTGTCACTAATACCACAAGAGGTTGTCAGAAGACTCTAGAACTGTGCTAATATGGTAACTACACGTGATTTAGTAAATTGAAATTAACTAAGATTAGATAAAATTTAAAATTCAATTTTTCAGGTGTATACCAGACACGTTTCACGCACTCAGTAGTCATGATGCCTGTGGCTACCGTGTGAACATTTCCATCATCATAGAACATTCTTTTGGATAGCACTGTTCTACAGGTGTTTTGGTAATAGTATCGTCTTGGACCTCATGTTCATAGCCACTTTTGCGGTTCCTAAGTCAACACCTTTTTTGCCCTGAGTGTCCTTAAAGGGGTTGTTAAGAAGTATTTTTGGATCCTCTGTTAAACCTGAAAAACAGAATGAGAAAGTAAATAATGGGAGAAGAGGAAAAGTTGACCAGAGAAGGGTAAGAAAGTTTGCATAGTGGAGATCAGAGCACCATCAGGTATCTCTGGCTTCAGCCAGTAATGCCTTGGCCTTTAGCTGCTCTTTAAAGCATAGGGCAAAGGTTGCAGATACTTGCTACCATTAACTAGTGTGTGACCTTGGACAAGTGTTTTAACATCTCTCTGCTTCATTTTCCTCACTAGTATTGTCCCCACTTATAGAGTTAATGATCCCTACTGTACCTGTACCTCCCTCACAGGATTGTAGTGGAGCTAGAATGAATAGATGTGAAAGTGTTTTGACAGTAAAAGCGCTATATGATGACAGGTGATTGCTGTTTGCAACCATGAGTGTTTCTCTTCTGGTTAGAAAATTATTGAAAGTGATAGTGAAGCTTTCCTTATTTGCTTTTCTTACATTTGTTTTTCTTTTTCTTATTTTGGAATGTTGTTGCATTTTCAGCTTTTAAAAGTATTCTTAATTATTTTCATTTGATGGGGGAGATCATCATGATGGACAGTGGAGACTGGGGAAGGAGGGTTTTCTCCTGACAGGTAATGAGCAAAATGTAAAAGAATGTAAAGTTGGGTACAAACTGCAGAGGTATTCTAGTAATGTAATACAGAATGCCCTTGCCTTTTAAATATATTTAATACAGTTAATTCTGGAGTTCGAGACCAGCCTGGCCAACATGGTGAAATCCCATCACTTACTAAAAATACAGAAAAACTATCCAGGCGTGGTAGTGTGTGCCTGTAATCCCAGCTACTCAGGAGGCTGAGACAGGAGAATCGCTTGAACCTGGGAGGTAGAGGTTGCAGTGAACTGAGATCGTGCCACTGTACTCCAGTCTGGGCAACAGAGAGACTCCTTCTCAAAAAAGAAAAAGAAAAAAATATATATATACATATATATATTTAATACAACTGAATAAAAGGAAAAGGACAGGCCGGGCGCCGTGGCTCACGCCTGTAATCCCAGCACTTTGGGAGGCCAAGGCAGGGGGATCACAAGGTCAAGAGATCGAGACCATCCTGGCCAACATGGTGAAACCCCGTCTCTACTAAAATACAAAAATTAGCTGGGCGTGGTGGTGCATGCCTGTAGTCCCAGCTACTTGGGAGGCTGAGCCAGCAGAATCGCTTGAACCTGGGAAGCAGAGGTTGCGTGAGCTGAGATTTGTGGCCACTACACTCCAGCCTGGCGACAGAGCAAAGACTCCATCTCAAAACAAACAAAAAACAAAAACAAAAAAAAAAAGGAGAGAAGGACAAAATATGTTGTAAGAAAAAATCATGTTACTTGGCCCCAAAGTGCCTAAAGATTACAGGCCAAACTATCTTAACTGAAAAAAAAAGCTGC